TCGGTAGAGTTTACTTGCTGAGGAGGAGGGAATAAAGAGGTGGGTGGGGGTGTGTGGGGACAACCAACCAGAGATAAATGAGCTTTTAACTCCAGGGGGGGAAATGACCAATAATAAAGTAAATGCACATTTTACTTAGTCCAGGAATGTAAACCATGCTCTTGCTCTGAGCACTGTGACTTCAAAAGGCCCTAACTGGGGAGGAGAGAGGACCCACAAGTGAAAGAACGGGGGCTCATGTCGCCAAGACATATCCCTGAGGTGGCAATTTTAGTAGGGAAGAGAAGAGCCTCTCACAGCCCCCCAGAGAGCCCGTAGGCTGGGCGTTGGGTGTCAGTAGTTTCTGTTGCTGCCTTTTGCTGAGGTCCTTGGATGTGAAGGGGGTGAGGAAGCCAGGCTGGTAGCAGGAAGAGGGGCAGCCTCCCAGCCACGCCAGGTCCTCTGTCAACAATGTCGGCACCAGGACAGGGTTTCAGCCCTGGCCCCGGCTGCCCTGGGACGTGAAGAGCACCCTCCCTGTTCAAAAAGGCCCTGGCATCCGTCCCAAGCCCAGCAAAAATGTTCAGAGGCTCCTTTTCGTTTTTCTTTCCTTTCCCACAGGATCTTAAATTGAGACACGAACTTTTAAAAAATAGCTTTCATTTTAAATGTCAGACATGTTCATTAAAGGAAACTTAGAAGTTTTTTTTTAAAGAACAGGTAATAAATACTTCCTGGTAGAAACTCAATATTAAATAAAATGGGAAAAAGAACTAAGACGCAGCAATCCACGTTCTAGACGTACTATACCTTCCACCAGCACCTTGATCAATCTGGATCCACGTGTTCGTGTGAAAAGGAGGATGGTGGCGCTTTCTCTCCCTCCTTCTAGCGTACTAATGTCCCTCAGAGAAAAATGGAATTTGAGAGCGTTCTGTAATCTGGAAGTGACTATAAACTGTGTCAGATTGTGTCTCAAACTGCGGGCTGCAGGGCGGGGAGCTCCAGGAAACATTCGCGGAGGTCTGCTGGGGAGTCCGTTGGCTGCGCTTCGGGACCCGGAATAGTATCTTTGAAAGCAAGACAATTAGAAAGCGTGGCGCTCTCCTCTTCCTGCGTCTGTGGGCTGGAGGCCAAAGATTGATCAGGCGTGCGGAGTTTGGTTCGGGGGAGCTCAGCGGGGGTCTCTGTGGCTATTCTCGCCCACCAAGAATTCTAGGTGCCCGAGGTGCAGACCTCAGGAAGTGAAGGAAGGTAGGTCCACTTGACCCAGCAGCTTAATTCGTTTTCCATTTTTCTATTGGCGGGACCGCTCTACCCTGCACCTTAGTTCTCCCGCTCAGCACTCAAGGCTTGTGAAGGGGGCAGACCCAGCCACCAGGGTGTCCGCCTAGGGTAGCACCAGAAAGGAGAATTGTGCCACCTCTGGCGCCCAGACCTGGCAGGGAATTAGAAGGCCGAGTGGAAACGAACCCGGCATTCGTTCCGCGCGGGTCGCTTGCACGTCTGTCCTCAGAGGAACGTCTACATCTCCGAGGAATTCGTTCCAAGAGATGAGGGGTGACTTCTCTAATTCCCTCTCTCATTTCTTTTTTAACTCTCTGGAGGTCTCTGGTTTTCGATTATAAGACTTTGGTGACCTTGGGCCCCTCGATTTTTGCAGGCGTTGCTTTTATTCCCGGTGCAGCGGCTGAGACTGTGGGCCCAGACCTCGCGCTTGGTTTAAAGCGAACCCGCCCGAGTCTCAGCGCAAAACTGTGGGACTGTGGCTCACAGAGACTTGCCAGCATCTCTGGGAATTCCAGCATCCGCCGTGTATGTACATATAAAATTGATAACCAGAGTTCAGATTCTTCTGTACACCACTTGCAGCCTACAATTTTTCACTACTGGAGTAAGGGCCGGCTCAAGCCCAAGAAACTTAATGGTCCCCAAAAAATACAATTTATTCTTGTGTCCTGGAGATTTTTTTTTTAAGTACACAGTAATTCTGAGTAATTCTTTTCTAAAAATCTCAGGACGCAGGGTCCTTAGACACAGGTCCTCAGTAAAAGCAGCCAAAGACGTTCACAGGGTTGAATTCTCCCCGTAGATTATGGGAAAGGAGAGGAGAAAGAGGGCATGAATGGGGTTGGGCCACCCTCCCCAGGCTAGTCCAGGGACATCCTTCTCAAAAATAGCCAAGAGCCCGAAACTCGGAGCACCTACCCTCTCCCCCCACCGCTTCCCAGTGGCCTCCCTGAGAGAGGGAGAAGCCTGGGAACCCAGAGAGGAGGCCGATAAACCCCCAGCCGGCGGGCCTGCGAGGCCTTGAAATGCTCTCCGCTCCTGGCAACGCTTGGCCTGGCGGTCCCTCTGGCCCAAGGGAGGGAGGGCTAGAGCAAAGGAAGGAGGCAGAGAGCGGGAGGGAGAGAACAAGTAAGAAGAAAACACCCCGAAAGAGCAGGCTGCTGGCCAACAACCCCTGGTCCGTCCTTGAGCAGAGGCCTTTGGGGAGAAATTTGGGGCGCTGGGCCCAGGCAAATGAGCCATAGCAAACAAACAATTTTCTCAGGTGCCTTGTAGAGGAACTGAATATTCCTGGATCTCAAGAAACCAGCTTACAGCCCACCAGGAGAGGGCCAGCTGGAGGCGTGGGGGGTGGGGGTAAAGGACCCTCCTTGTGGGCCTGGCCAGAGCAGCGGCCCAGGGCATCTGGGGTTCCTTACAATCAAGCCCCTAGCAAAATCAGGCTGGGTGGCCAGGGGTCTTAAAATAGTCACACAGAGCAGAGCCTGTCATGGCCCCCATCCGTGTAGAGAGGAAGAGATTGAAATTGCGGAGAAGTGTGTTTTTGTGTGTTGGGGGGGGGGTGTTGAAGCTCTCCGGAGGGTACCGCACCCAGAGTGGGGCCCAGCGCACTGCAGGCAGCAGGCAGCGTGGGAGCAGCCTGAGGTCTTGGATGTGGGGAAGACTCTCAGATGGTCGCTCTGACCCAATCCCCTGGCTTGTTGCTAGGAAAATCCAGGGCCTCATCCCCAGACTCAGCCCTTTCGTCCTCTGAGGGTCCCGCGTGGGAGGCATCTCTGGGACCCCAGGCAACGCCGATACAAATCCCTGCGGAGGAAAGCGAGACTGGGGGAGCTTCCCACTCGCCCAAGTCCAGACTTTGAATTCCTCAGAAAGCCCTTGCTGTCTTTGGCTTTGTGCCTTTCTCCCTCACTTGAGCAAGAGTAAGAACCCATTTTAAACAGGGCAGGGT